GATAGATAGATAGATAGATAGATAGATAGATAGATAGATAGAAAATTAAATGAAATTGTCAAATGGTGCAAAAAAAGAGAAAATAATAACACATTTGTATATATACAAGGTGATTATTTGAAATGATAAATGTCCAATAAATGTTGGTGTAACGTGTTTCCTTTAAAACATTTAAAAAACTTGTAGGTAATTGTTAGCAAACGTTGTGGGAACGTTACCTGCCAGTCAGAGACTCCAACACTGATCCTGAACAGCTTCTGCCAAATGAATGCAGAACTCATAATTCATAAAGTTTTCTATCGATTACTTTTACAGTTAGTTCAAACCAAACAATCCCATGCAAATGTATCACCACTACATGTTTTTTTTTTTTTGTTCCTCGTTTTTGTTTGTGAGTTATTTACAGCCTGACTCAACAACAACAGCAGCCTACACAGAGCGGTTCACCCGTTCTGCTCGCCTGCTGCATTTAAAGGGGTTTCGACCCAGACGGGCTGAGAGGAGCTGCTGCATAAAGTGTTAATGACTTCTGGTATTTTCTGGAACGGGGATTATTGCAGGAAATTCAACCCCGGGGTCATGCAGCAGCTCAGCCGTTTCACACCATAAAAGCTTCATCGTGTGCTGATGTGTGCACGCTTGGATACAGTTTTCTTTATTTACTCAAATCAAGCAACTGTGTGTGTGTGCGTTTCAGGTAAAGCTTTCCTGCGCGCCCGTCAGATGAACGTGGACATCGCTACCTGGGTCCGCCTGCTCAGGAACGCCATCCCCAGTGGAAGCAACACACCTGCGTACACGCCCAGCTTCACAGGCAACACACACAGCACAGGGTGGGTAACTAATGGAGCCGCAGTTTGGCAAAAACACACACCTGCTTCAGCTTTCTTTATGTATGCATTTTAAATCACATTCGTTCATTTACCATTTTTCTTTTTTGACAGATCAATAATTTAGTGGGGGTTAGAGCATCAGGCGCTGTGTGGAGTCAATGAGCCCATCTGTTAATGTTACTTATTAAGTCAATCAATACTTTGGATCAATTATTTATGTGTAATGTCTTTAATGTAGCTTTTAATGTCTTTAGTGTAACTTTTTAATGTCGGCCATTATTGTGAGGAGTGATCAAAAAGTTCAGAGGTTTAAATTTGGCCTCCATTCCTGTCAAAGTTTAGCCGACTTGTGCGGTGACACACTGCTGCTCCCAGCGCTCCTGCAACGCTTGTACTGCTCCCTGTATGTCTGCGGTAAACACTGAATCTCCCTAACTGTCAGAGGAGGAAGTCACAGGGAGTCAAATCTAGCAACTAGGTCAGGATTGACGATCGTGTTGTTGCACCACAGTTCAGGACTTTGTGCCAAATGTTCCTTCTCAGACACCTCAGAAGGTTTCAGACGATCTCTGTCTTGACAGTTTGACCCTGAGGGATTTATTCCCGGTGCACAATCACTGATGATTAAGAGAAAAAATTCCACTTTGCACCAACATCTTCTTTCGCGAAGGCTGCAGTCGTCTCTTTAACCCGTCGCTGATCTTTATCGACCAAATGGGACACTTGTGTTTCTTCCTCGCGGTGGCCATCTTGTCCTGGAGGTCAAAGAGGGGTCACGCCTCCAAAGCCGCTCTTTCGTTAATTCAAAGCTTTAATTTTGAAAACTTTAATCTCTTCCACTGTGAAAAGTAGCGGCACCCGCCTCCCTCATGGCTAGTGATGATCCTCCACATGGACGTTGCATCATTCTGGCTCTGCTCGAGTTTTACGTCCATGTGGGAAACACAAATGTGCACCTATGAGTGGACAAAAATACATGTGTAACAGAGGTCTTATTGCTGATAGTGTGGTGATTAACTTGTGACAGTTATGCAGATGTGCATACGCCACAAATAGTATCTGAACTTTTTAATCGCCCCGCATATTGAATGAATTAGGAGATTCATATTAAATCAAAAATCTAAGTTTATTGTCATTTCGCTGTACATACAACAGTAGGACAAACGAGATGAGAGAGCGTTTCTTCAGAAGTGTTTGCACATCTGGATCAGCAGCTCAGTGTTCTGACAGCTGGTGGCATGAAGCTGTTGATCAGTCTGGAGGTTCATTCCTTTAACACTCTGGAAACGTTTGCCTTGTGGCAGCAGTTCAAACAGTTTATGGAGACGATGTGAGGAGTCCCTGACAATGTTCAGAGTCCTGCTCCTGCAGCAGCTCTGGAGAAGTTCAGAGCTAGCTGCCTGAACTTTAATATCCTTATTGAATCCATAAGAAGATGGATGAACCAGCTAAGACTGAACTGCCTGGATGTCTGCTGTGCTGAAGTTTTTTACCACAACTTACTTATTTGTGCCTCAGCACCACTGATGTTTCCTACTTTGTTTTTTGCGTTGCAGAGAAATCTCCGTGGAGAAGCTGAACCTGGACAGCGAATCTCCTCCCAAAGCGGAGGTCAGGAAAGATGTGGTGGACGCACCAGCTCCTCTGGTGAGTGAGGCAGAGAGAGGGACGGAGGCCAAAGGGAGAGGGAGGCAGACAGAGGACTTTGTGATGGGGAAAGATGGCCATCTTAACGCTATCACGTTACTGTTTGGTTGACTTCCTACCTGCCTCCTCTGTCTTGGAAACAGTGCTCCAGTCATAGGCTGCTGCTGCTGCTGCTGTTCTGTGTGCTGCAGTGAAATCTAAGACAGCCGTAGCCGGTTAGAGAGCGAGAGGACAGGGTGAATAATTAGAGGGATGAAATCTCAGGGAGACAGATTTAATGAGACATAATTGGATGGAGGGGAGCTTTAATTTGATCAAGTCCAAATCCATGTGATTTTCTCAGTGTGAAGACGACAAGAAACATTTCACACTACGTCTGTCTCTGGTCTCGTCTGCTCCTGTCTGCTTTACCAACACCAACATGCTATTCTGGTCATCTGGCTGTGGACAAACAATCATTAGTATTTGTTTAGTGTGTTTCTCTGTGTCGCTAACACACTCAACAAGTGATGCATGAAGTTAGAATGAGGCTGTGTAATGAGCTTTGTTTCTAAAGTTTTCTGCAGCTGTGCAACTTATTTACTTTATAACTGATTTCAGCAAAGTTCAGTATCGATAATCTCTCCCAGAGACTTGATGTCAGATTTTTATTTTTAATTTTACCATCACTTATTTTTCATTAGCTTTCAAATATGTTACATGATAACGAAAAATCACCACATTAGTTTTGCTTAAATTCAAAAATAGTTCAATAAATTTAAATTTTTTCAGTTCATTTTGTCAAACTTTGGGTGAATTTGATGAAATATCGCAATTTTAAGCTTAGATTTGCTTAATTTCGCAACTCCACATCACGCGATTAGTTAAAAAATCTGAGCATTCTTTCTGTATTCATAGTTTCTGGCTGTGATAAATGATGCAATGTTGGTAATGCCTTTCAAACATACTTGCAGATTTTGGAGTTTATTGGTGAATGCAGTCTTAAGAAGTTTTAATTTCTTGCACATAAAATTTCTTTGCAAAATTAACTGCACTGGGCCCAACAGTGTGCCTTGAGGAACTCCACAAGTATCTTCAGTTAATATTATATGACAATATTATAAGAAGTGAAACTAAATATCACGTTCAAATGTAGATGCTTTTACATGAGGGTTTAGTTTCTTCCTTTCTCAGCCGTTGCATTTGCATCATGGACTTCCTGCGACATGGTTTGGCAGCTTCATTGCGGTCGTGCCAATAAAACAAATGTGACTTTGAATTTTAGAGGCAGTCTTAAGAAGTTTTAATGTCTTGCACATAAAATTTTGTTGCAAAATTAACTGCACGGGGCCTAACAGTGCGCCTTGAGGAACTCCACAAGTATCTTCAATTAATATCATATGACAATATTATAAGAAGTGAAACAAAATATCTCGTTAGAATGTAGATGCTTTCCGTTTGTTCCTTTCTCAGTCGTTGCATTCGCATCATGGACTTCCTGCGGGATGGTTTTGGCAGCTTCATTATGGTCGTGCCAATAAAGCAAATGTGACTTTGAATTTTAGAGGCAGACAGACAGAATTAGACAAGCAGAGAGAGTCAGAGGGGGAAGAGGGCCCGTGGCAGATGGTGTGTTCAATGAGGTTGAAGTATTATGGGATTAATTACTGTGATGTTTTTTAGACAACTAATTAGCAGTGAGGAGGGAGTGGAGAGGACAGGAAGAGGGGAGGAGCGAGGCCGTCGGCCAGCAGGGGATCTGGCAATCAGGCAGCGACGAGCATCACTGACTTATTGTCTGCTTTTACAGATGTTAGCAATCACTCTGCCTCTTCTCACGACGCTCCCTCGCTGTCATTTCCCCCTCCATGCATTCATTCTAATGGTGCTTCATGTTTCGCCTCCTTCATCTTTGTCTCTCAGGAGCAGACGCCCGTCATCGAGCCTCCGTCCACGCCGGATGTCCCTGTTCACGAGCAGCCAACCAGATCGCTGTCTCAAAACTCCCTACGCAGGTGCAGCAACACACAAGCAGCCTCCTTTTTTTCCCTCTCATAATGAACACACACCTGAGTGAATCTTTTTGCAATATGGCCAACACAGCGTGACACCAGGAACACAGCCCCCACACACAATATGGTCCCGTGTTGTAGCCTCCTTTTGTAGCACCTGGTAGCAAAGCCAAGTCATCATTAATGTGGATCACAGCATATGTCGCCCCAGAATAAGACGTGGCTCGCTGTGCTGGAGGCTAAAAAACAGAGCAACAGTCGCACAATGAGCAGTTTTAGCCCTTTTTTGTGTGTGTGTGTGAGCATTAATTTTGAATGAGACACATTCAGATATGACATCATGTTGGGTTGCATGCACTGTCTGTAATCTGCCTGTAATCTCTCTCTCAGAGCCAGCAGAGGCCCTCTTTGTCTGCAGGACTTCAAGCTGATGGCGGTTCTCGGCAGGGGCCACTTTGGGAAGGTGCTTATAGTTTGTTTTTTTATGTTAGGATGAAGCAAAACGGCGTATTTGTCTTTTCACACAATGCTATAATTTGCTTCAGTGTATTTTCTACCATGTAAAACTTCCTTTTTTTATCATATTTTATTTTCATATTAGCAACGGATAGAAATATACGGAAGCATCATTAGCATCATTCGACTCATCGTTTTGGTTTTACAGCAAGCAGTGTTAACGTCTCCGTTCAGCTCTGTCTGTCCGTGCTCCAGCTCCATAGCTGTCCAGTGTCTAAAAACAGATCACTGAGCCACACTGGGTCGCTGCCACATCCACTGTCATGCTGCCATAAATACTCACTCAGGCTCCCAATAGGTCTGCTGTGTAAAAGTCTGTTTAAGTAAAGTTTGGTCATCTTTACAAAGCCCAGGACGTTCCTTTGTAGCTCCTTTAAGCTTTGTATTTGTGATCAGTTTTTAATTACTGGATCATTCCATTCTAACTCCCCGAACCATCCAAGTTTTTATCGTAGATTTTCTTGAAAAAAAAACTACATATAAACTTCTATTGTGTTCATGGGACCCTGCAGAATCCTAAAGCTCTACTGCAAATATTAAAAAACAAATATTAATAGCTATAAATCTCAGATGTTTGGCCTTTGGGGCTAAATTTGATATTTTTTTGCAATTCCTTGTTCGCCTCATCAGGCTTTTATTTTTCACTTGATTGAGTTGGAAATGAACATAAATACAAACCTTAAAGATAAATAAATAGTAGTTCCTGAAAGAGACGACAATCAAATTCATGACCCTAATAATGTCCAACCTTAATGAACAATCTTTTCGACAATTAATTTCAACTGAATTTTGCTTTTGCGTCGTATTAATATAAAGTCCTATCCATCTGGATGTTATGTGGCAGTTCATAAAAAACTGACTGCCACAAATCTTGCTAAATACAGCTTCTGAGATGAAAAAAAAATAAAAAATTAAAGATGTTTTGACTGTATAGTTTTCCTAAGAGGGATTATTTTAATTTCCTTAAACCTTTTTTTTTAATTGGAAAATGTTCATATTTATTGTAGATATAAAAGATGTTACATTACTTTATCATTAAATAAATATTTGAAAATGATTTTTTAAATACTTTTAACAGGCTGTAGTATTACATTCAGTAGTTTTATGCCACAACTACACATCTTAATATGTTTTCTTTAAGGTTTTGACAGACAGTCTAATATAAGGAATGGCAGTGATCATGAACTGTAGCTCACTAAAAGAGTATTTGGAGTTCAGCTTTAGAGTTTTGTAAGGTCCCATAAATTTAACAGCAGTCTTTTTGACATTAATTTGTGAAGAATCTCCGTGACATGAGCTGAACTGGTTCAGTGAGTTGCCATGAAATGACCCGAGCGAGCTTTAGTGAGAAGCAGCAGGCCTCAGGCCGAGGCAGAGAGAGGAAGCGAGCTAACAGACTAATTCATTGTTGCTCATGATATTTGCTCACAATAGCACAATTATATTCCATTGAACGCTCCCTTATGTTCATTCCCATTAGCATTTCATTATTCAAAAAACCCTGAAGTGAGCTTTTGTTGGTCCGTTCAGGTGCTGCTGTCAGAGTACAAGAGCACCGGCAGCCTGTACGCCATCAAGGCCCTGAAGAAAGGAGACATTGTCGCTCGGGATGAAGTGGAAAGGTGAGCGTGTTTCACATCCCTGGCTGACCACGACCAGAACTGCTGCACGACAAGAGCTCCTTCACCTCATGATTACGCCTCGTACAATGACTGTCTCATTCGCACCCCCTCCCCCTCCTCTGTCTGTCTGTCTCCAGTCTGATGTGTGAGAAGCGGATCTTTGAGACCGTCAACGGCTCCCACCACCCCTTCCTGGTCAACCTGTTTGCATGTTTCCAGACGCCAGAACATGTGTGTTTTGTCATGGAGTACACGGCGGGCGGAGACCTCATGATGCACATACATGCCGACGTCTTTACTGAGCTTCGCGCTGTGTGAGTTCCGCTGCGTGTGCGTTCGATCGGGAGCTCCACGTTCGATCCGTCTGTGTCTGTACGCCCACTGATGATGTTGACGGCTGATGAGGCGGCGGCCTGTCTGCTCAACTCTGTCTCTCTCTGTCTGTCCGTCAGGTTCTACTCGGCCTGCGTGGTCTTGGGTCTGCAGTTCCTTCACGACCACAAGATTGTGTATCGGTGAGCACTCGGATCGTGTCTGTCTTTGCCTCTAACAATATGTACAGTCGTCCTCAAATGTATTAATACCCTCCTATTAAAGAAGGAAAAAAACAGTCGCTGATGAAAGTAATCATAAATAAAAAATTAAAGAAAATCATGACATTGACGGCGCCCCTATGGCTCACCGAGTTGAGCCGGTGACTCATAAACAGGGGCTTTAGTTCCCCGATGCAGCAGTCGTGGGTTCGACTCCCTTTGCTGCAGATCTCTCCCCATTTTTCTTTCCTGTCTATCTCTACTGCTCTAAAAATAAAGGCAAAATACCCAAAAATATATATTAAAAATGATAAAATAAAAAACTATGACATTGCTTTTGAGTTGTGGTTCAACAGAAATTTAAAACAATAAACAACCAAACAAACAAAAACCAGCATGATGGGACCCGTAAACTAATATTTTGCTGAACAACCCTTTGAGCCAATCACTGCAATCAAGTTTTCAGTTTTGTTTTGTTTTTTTAAATTATTCTTTTCAGCCACAATTGAAAATTAATGTCTTATTTCACTAAATTATAATTTAGCAATTTTTTATTTATTATTACTTTTTTCAGTTTCTAGTTATTTCAGTGACTGTTTTGATTTTTCTTTAATGTTAGGGTATAAATAGATTTGACTGTAAAAGATGTTTCCTCTCTCCTGTCGCCATTCGATAAAAATATAAATCTCGTTCCTTTTCTTTATCAGGGATCTTAAACTGGACAACCTGCTGCTCGACACGGACGGCTATGTGAAGATAGCAGACTTTGGGCTCTGCAAAGAAGGTGAGACTTCATCATTTATTCATGACGCTCGCCCGCCGCAACACCACTTGAGGAAATGTTCCCCACATTAAAGAAAAATAAGTCCTTTCTCAAGCATCAAAGTGCCTCTCTGCTCTCGCTTGAAGCAAACCCACCCTCACTGTTCTCCACTTCTTATTTTCTCTGTCTAAGGCATGGGCTATGGAGACAGGACCAGCACATTCTGTGGGACTCCTGAGTTTCTGGCCCCCGAGGTTCTGACGGACACGTCGTACACCAGAGCGGTGGACTGGTGGGGGCTTGGAGTGCTCATCTACGAGATGTTGGTCGGAGAGGTGAGAGTGAAGAGTTATTTTTTTCTCAGCAGGCAGGGCCTTCGCTCGAATCTGCCTCTGTTTCCTGTCTCCCTCTCGGCTGCTAAATAAAGGTCAGCCGTTGTACTTTGCGAGTTTGATGAGAAGATCAATACCACTTTCATGTCTGTGGACTAAATATAAAGCCGGGGACCATTTTCCCACCGAAAACATGTTTCAGGTTGTTCACATTTAGACCAGATTTCACCAGGATCAGTGAAGAGTTTCAGCCCTTCAACTTGCAGATTGTTTGCACAATAATTTGGAGTTTGGCCAACAAACACTCAGAGCAGAGCGAGAAGGAAAGCAGTAGTCCAAGCAGGAACCGCAACCTTGTTATTGGTAACCGTGTTTCCGTTCTATTACTTATGTTGGAAGGGGGAACCCTAAGTAGTTGTGCGTGCACTTTACAGCAGTTGGTGCAACTCCTTATTATTATTAATGTGTACAGCTGCTTCTGTTACGATGTTTTGGAAGCTCCTTGTTGGCAGCTTGTCCAGTTCCATACTGATAACATTTTATGAAAGAATAAACATGTTAAAGTTGCATGTTTGTGTGGAGGACATCTGAGGGAGTTGGTGCCAAAGTAGACATTGACTAGTTTTAGAGAAAAATGGGTGAAAATTTTGTGTTGCTAATAAAAAAAGTCATGGTTGTTGAAGGAGTCATGCATATTATAGGCATCCAAAGATGTTCCAGCACCATCCAGAGATAGAAACAACTGCTTTGTGATGACTGCTTTAGCTTTAATTTCCTTTTTCTGAGTGCCAAAGTGGGCCGTACCATATTTTCTACCCCTTGAGAAACAAACTGATTCCAGGTTTGTCTCGCTGAACAGCATTGAATAGTTTACATCATAAGGAACTAGAGATACTTTTGAGGACCTTGGGGTAGAAATAGATGCTTGGTGGTGGTTAGTTAAGTGTTTATTTTACGTTGAGTTGAGTTTTCACTGGGCTTGAGGTCGCGCTGTCCGCCATCTTGAATCACAAACACATGCACCTACCTGCACCCGTGTTATAACGGTTAGCAGTTCCTGTAGCTTGGCCCAGTTTGCCACTAAATTTTCATGCCAGAACCATTATGAGTCAAACTTCAAAGTGGCATTGTGACGTTACCAGTGGGCTGCTGGTTGGACCACTTTGTCACGAACTAAAACTGTACTTTGGATTTTTTATTGTTTGGCCCACTTTGGCACTGAACCCCTCATTTCACCAACTCGTAACACATGTGACATGTTGATGTTCGGCCCAGTTTTCATCTAGAAATCAATGTCCTGGTTGGTGCCATTGAGTTACTTCAGTGCAGCACAAAGACTGGAGACAGGGAGGGTCTGTCTAAAGCACCAGCACCTCTAAAGCTCATTAATTAATATGTTGGGTCTTGTTACTGGCTCCTAGCTGTAGCTTCACATTTGCAGGACTGATATGTCAGTGGTTCTTGTTAAACTATTCCTTTAAGTTTCTTTGTGACTCAAGGATATGACAGGAAATGAATTATTGATCTTGGAGATTCAGGAGCACAGAGCTCAAAGAAAGAGAAGAAACAGCTGAATATCAGATTTGAAAAAGTGCAGGCTTATTTTGTTTTGTAAGGAGATGAAGAAGAGCACAAGAAGAAAGATATCAAGTAAGTGATCAGCCACAACATCAAAACTACTGACAGGTTAATGACATTCATTATAAACATGACAAAGAGCTCAAGTTCTTGACTTGACCTCAGAAGAAACAGTGAAAATGAGGGAAAAACCTTGTTGACACTGAGGAAAGCGCTGTGGGGAAGGTTTGCATCCTTTGGAGGATCTCGTAGTATTGATACCCCTTGTGCTGTCAGGCCATCTGCCCCCATCATGCCACCCATCAGGGGCAACGAGATGCCCTGCAGGGTGGGAGAGGAAGTCTGGAGGAAGGTGCCCGCTGATGTGGGGGGACTCCTGCTCCCTCGCCAAGGCTCTACCAAGTGGCATTGATCAAAACCTCTTGTGGGGCAGATGAGCTGTGCAGCATCAGTTACCATGGTGATCTAAACAAGAGCCGCCTCCTGACTTTAGGGCCAACATACCTCACTGACTCATTCAGTTAATATCATAGCACATTGCTGTGTTGTGTACAATTAGGTTGTCCGGTTGAGTTCATCAGATTTTTGGATGGTGCTGACAATTCTTCCTTCTGTATCGGATCATTTTAGTAGAAAAGAGGGAATTTAAGGGTGAGAAAGTCTTGGGATGCTATTTGGGAAAACCCAAATACTATGAAAAATGCATTAAATGACTCTTATATAACAGACAGCATCTCCACCTGAGTGTCAGTCGGGGAAATAAATATTTGAAAGACTTAGAATAAAACTTATACTTTATCTGGAACATTTCACTGAGGTATAATATGAGATTTAATGTCTGTCTGTTTCAGTCTCCGTTCCCAGGCGACGATGAAGAGGAGGTGTTCGACAGCATCGTGAACGACGAAGTGCGCTACCCTCGTTTCCTCTCCACTGAGGCCATCGGCATCATGAGACGGGTCAGAATGACGATCATCGAATGCTCCTCATGTTTTCTTTGTACTGTATTTCAATTAAGTTGGGAACTTAAGACCCACTCATGTTTCCACTGACTTATCTGTGAGGCTAAAAGGAGCGCTGGTCCACATTGTTGTTTCTTGGTTCTCAGTTGTTGAGAAGAAATCCTGAAAGACGTCTTGGCTCTGGAGAAAAGGATGCTGAAGATGTCAAAAAACAGCCTTTCTTCAGGGTGAGTGTTGGGTTTCTATTCGTTTTCTCAGACGGCGTTTAATATTAATGACAGAGAAATTGAATTTTTACAACTTCAGAACACGGACTGGGAGGCGCTGCTCCAGAGGAAGGTCCCGCCGCCGTTCGTCCCGACCATCGGCAACAGAGAAGACGTGAGCAACTTCGACGCCGAGTTCACCACCGAGGCACCGACCCTGACGCCTCCCCGCGAGCGCCGCACCCTCTCCCGGAAGGAGCAGGACCACTTCAAGGATTTTGACTACGTCTCCGACCTCTGCTAGGGTCAGGGGGTCGCGGGGGGTTTTTTTAGCTGCACACTGCCAGCCACAGACTCTGAAAGGAGACGAGACGGCTGACTGTCTGTGCTGGGAGGGCACGGACAGACGGACTGGGAGGATCACTCGTACTCTGTCCTCTCTCTATCTCTGTGTTTATGATGGGATGAGGCAGCAGCCGGGCTGAGCGAATCAGTGGAGTCTGATCGCGTGTCGCAAACATATGCAGTGTCACAGATCTGCTGACCGACAGACTATGCGGAGTGGCTTTTACCGAAAGGGGGGGAAGTCGCGATGATAAAGATAATCCAGATTATGTAACAGATGGAAGATGAGATGATGGATCCTGCTGTTTGTTTGAAATTCTCAAAGAGCCTCGAAAATCACGGAGGCAAAGAGAGAAAAGCGATGATTCAGTTTGTCTCTTTGCTCCACTCTGTCGTCCCTTTATATCTCTGCTGTTTGTTGCTGCTAAGTGTGTGTTTAGCCGTGTCCCTGCCTCCGTCATGAATGTTTCAATCGTGCACCACCCGTCCGTCACCACTTGGGGGAGCCAGAGGAAAGAGAAATTTCTGTTTAATGTTTGGTCGACGCTGCCCCCTGCTGGTCACGCCAAAGAAAGGCAAGTAAAGGGTTTTAGCAGGAGGCTGGTGGAGGGGGTTCAGCTGCTGTTTGTGTGTCTTTGTTCAATCATAGGAAGCATCTTCTCCTTCCGCTGTCCTCTGTTACACCACAGGTTTTTAACTTCAATCATTTTTCAGTGACAAAAAGCTTTTACAGTTTTGTGATTTACTGTTTTGTTTTTTTTCCTCCCCTCGTCTGTGTTTCCTCCTCTGTTCTGTTATTTGCTGGTGAAATGTGTTGGAACTGTGACTCAGTAAAGATGTGAACTCAACTTTGAGACTTTTTATCATTTATTTTTCTTGCATACACTAATTGTTTGGGCACATATAATCTAACTCATCCTCCTAATATGAAAACAGGAAGTCTTCAGGTTCTCCATTTTGAACTTTTTGCCCAGCAGTAACTTCTACGTTCTCTCAACAGGTTGTATTTACCTACCGACTGTATATAACAGAACCCTCTGTGATGCCGCTATTAGGTTTCCTGAAGAGATGATGGAAAGTGTGGTGAACACAGCCATCGCCATTAATTAGTTAAAAATAACTTTAAGGCTTAATTCAATGTAACCAGGTGAGTTATATAAAAAAAAATTCACCCCCGTACGCTTGTCATGAGCAGAAATTTAGCTACAGAGACCAAAACTGTTCTTTGTACCAGTCTGTAAATGGACTTATTTCTTTTGTAAAATTGGACATTTTAACATTGTGGTCTTTGATTCATAGCTGGATCCTCTAGTGGTGATTTGGGGAACTGCAGTCTTTAGAAATCATTCAAGACCTTGCTTTACTTTTCAACCCCAGAGGCTGCGGCTTGTATTTCCCCTCAGAAACCACTGATGTGGCTTCTTTCATGTTGCCCCACTTAGAAATTTAAATTGTCTAATTCATACAAAGACCTGAAAAACATCTACATTCCTCACTGTCTTCTGCAAGACTTAAATATAACAATCTGCATTATTTCTGTCTACCAGCAGGGGGCGACTGCTCTAGTTGGAAAAGGTGTCCAATTGTATAGAAACCTGTGAGAAAATTAACCTACTTGTCACTTGATTTATTACCTCAGTAGCCTCATGAGCTTAGAGTTTCAATCACTACCTACAAGTCCTGCATGATGCTCATTTTATAAATTATGCTCCCATTCAGACTACAACAGATGGGTATGTTTTAGGGCGGGACTACCTTGTGATTGACAAGTCGCTGCCTTGGGCGTGTCCTCGAGTTCCCCGTCAGATCCACCCATCACGTCGCCTCACCTGGTTGAGCTGGTGGTCGTGAGTTAGAGTCCCGCTCATGGCCCTTTGCTGCAAGTCCTTCCCCCATCAGGGCTGCAAGGTGGCTCGGTGGTTAGCATCGTTGCCTCGCAGCAAGAAGGTCGCCGGTTCATGTCCCGGTGAGGACACCTGGGATCTTTCTGTGTGGAGTCTCCATGTTCTCCCCGTGCAGCGTGGGTCCTCTCCGGGTTCTCCAGCTTCCTCCCACAAGGTCCAGAAACATGCTGAGGTTAATTGGTGATTCTAAATTGTCTGTAGGTGTGAATGTGAGTGTGCTTGGTTGTCTGTCTCTAAGTGTAGCCCTGTGATAGACTGGTTACCTGTCCAGGTGAACCTGCCTTCACCCTGAGTCAGCTGGGATAGACTCCAGGCCCCCATGACCCTAGTGAGGATTAAGCAGTGTATAGATAATGGATGGATGGATCCATCACTAGTCATGTCCAGTTTTGAAATGATGACAGCAGAATTCCAAATACTAGCCTTCAAAACAGTCGTCCACAAGCCAAGATCCATGTGCAAACGGTGGTATTTATTATTCTAAGACACACAAAAACCAGCACTGAAGTCAACTCGCTGCCTTTTACAGCCTCTCTGCTGCAGGTGATTAGCTGGAAGCGGGAGCGACACCAGGTGAAGCCCAATTTGCGATGGTTTGCTCTCCGGCAGGTGATAGGACCTGCCTCGCTCGTTTGACCCCGTGCCCCGCTGAGGAGAAACCCACAAAGAGGTGAGAATCATTATTTTTGATTAGATGAGCAGATAATGATGGGAAATTTTGGTTAAGCTTCAGAAAAAAAGTATTTTGTCTGCTGATTGGACATTATAAATGGCACGAACTGAGGTTTTCTTGCCTCTTTGCAAACTGTCACCATCAAACAAAGTTCCCAAATGTCTGCCGAACGCAATGAAGAATCAAAAAATGTAAATTATGCAAAGTATAGGACAACAGTTGATGTAGTTAGCATGCTGAAATAAACAGGTAAACATCACATCTGCTAAACTTGGAGCCACTATGACTCTGACTGTATTCAACAGTGAAATTTGTGTATTTTAAAAGCACTTGGACACACAAATATCCTTTAGGAAAATGATGAAGGAAAGAAGAATAGATGCCAAATGGGACCCCTGCAGACATGACTTGTACTCTTGCAGCGATTACCGGCTTCTTGGAACAACGTCTGGTCCAACGAACAGCGCTGAAAGGCTGAAAGTGAGCAACCGAAATAAAGAACAGAGTCAACGAAGTGGAGGGAAAGCATTTCAGTCTTCTATGATTTGCGATGTAAGTGTGTTCTTGGGTAACTCTAAGACGGCACAGATTGTGGTTAGCGACAGAACAACTAGAGTTTGATTGCAAAGAAGTTTCCAGAGTTTCTTCGAATGCATTGGCTACACAGATCTACCGACGGCATGTCATTTTGTTTCTTGGTCACACTGACATCAGAATTCTTGATATCAGTTCATCAGACTCCCTCAGATGGATTTTGTGGATCAATTAAACCGGTAAAATGTCCAAACAACTCCGGGCCCCAGGTGGGTTTATTAATGGCCTCCTGACATGAAAAATCGATTAAAACATTCTTGGAATTATCGGGAATGAATGTGAAGAAACATGTAAAGAGCGAAACACACAAAACACACTGTAAAACTAAAGAGCATTAAGAAAGGGGACTGTTTTTTAGTTATACGACGACGTGTGACAGTTGGATCACAGTAAAAATCTGTGAAAACGGAGCTGCGACAAGAGATGTTGCTGCGTTTTTGTTCTGTTCGCAAAATGTCGGTGATGACTCATGAACTCTGCTTAAAAAGGAAAAGAAAAAGAGAACCACGGAACAGCTGGATAATTTTCGGAAAAATGCTCCATCTGAAATGATTATGGATTCTTGAGTTTGGACAGATAATGATAACAGCTGTGTAGCTGAATGTGTTCTCCTGTTGTCCAAACTGCTCTGGTACATTTAACCAGACGGCCTCAGTAGAAGAATGTAGTTGCCCC